ACTATCTGATTACCCTTAAAGGGATTGCATGTCAGGGAAAGTAATCCTAAATGATCTAAATCTCCAGAGCCTGCGTATGTAAGTGTTGGACCCAGCTGTCTGAAATAATTCATTCGACCTGGGGGTGAAGATGAAGACCCTCTTCTGACACTCTTGAGGCAGAAATGAGCCGTTTCAGAAGGCGCCAGCAGCACAGTGCTGGGCCAGAGAGTGTGTGACGTTTCGAAGAGCTATGGGTCTCTCACTGGCACTGCAAGCCTGCAGATGTCCCCTTGCCCATGTCATAAGGATTGGCTGTATTCTTTGAGCCTCATGGGTGACCCTCTAGTGCCGTTTTAATATAAACATGATTAAATATCGGATAAGCTGAAACAGGATCTATACTGGAACAAAACCATGAAACGCATCATAAATAACTCGTGTGTGCCTTCACTGAACCATTCAGAGCTGAAGATATGCCATTGATCAAAATGCAGATTTAAAAAAAAACATTTCATAAAATAAATACATTACTGAATAAAATTATTTTTGTAAACAATACTTTTGTTTACCACGATATAGATGGTTTTACTTTAAGGGATTGACAGATTTTCTGCACCTCTGTTGAAGAATGTCTGCGGAAAAAAAAAAACACCTCAGTCATTTTGTTTTGAGAATTATGAAAGAAAAAATCTGATGTAGCGTTATAGGAAATGTTCACATAAATTACCTTGCTAAGGCAAAAGCTGTTTTAATATTCAAATAAAAGTATATCAAAAGAACATTCCCTCTGGCAGAATAGAAGGTGGACTTTGATCTTCTGGAGGCGAACAAAAAGAAAAACAAAGTCGCTTTTTAAAAAAACTGTACTGAGAATCACCGGGCCAGACAGCTTAATATTAACACAAGCTAATTCAAAAGAGTAAAATAGAAAAACATCAAGGTTATGTTGATTAAGACAGTTGGACAGAACATAGAAAAAGAGAATATCACTGTGAAGACAATCGCGAACCTGATTGCATTTTAGAGTGTTTATTATCAAATCACTGGCAAAATTCTACAAATGTGTAGTGTATGTGATTGGACCCAAACAGTACATCACAGGCTTGTTTGCAGGAGTCCACTACAGCTCAGACAAGTGTGCCAGAGGTCTGGAGCTAATTCTCATTATCCACTAGACAACAAAACGTCTCGCCACATACTGTACATCTGACAGGACAAAAAGGTCTTATTTCATGAACTGGCCTGTGTGTCATATCTGGTCCAGCAGAAAATAGTGAATCTTTGTTCCCAACCTTGGAAAAAGGGGAGAGTGGATTAATACATTTTGGAAGGGAAACCTGAGAAATAAACAGAAGAGAAGACGTCAAACTCAACAGCAACGAACCAAAATAAAAAAAACGAGGTGCTTCATATTTAGGGACATTCATCTATCCGTTTTCGAACTGCTTCTTCCAACACAGGCACTCAGGGGAGCTGGAGCCTAACCCGGCAAAAAAGTGCCCTGGACAGGACGCCTCTCCATCACAGGGCACACAGACAGTACAGGCCCTTTAGGGACCTAAATTTCAATCATTAAATCAGAATGATGAATATCTGATTCAAACACCTTTCAAAAGCAACAGACAGCACACTGCAAATTGACAGGTTAACACAAGCTAGCACAAGGCGTTTGTATATCAGATGCTAGCAGAGCTGTCTTGGCTTGAATCATGTCTGTCTACATCATAAGAAAATGATGTCCTGACTCATAACTGAACTGTCACGCCCTCTGCAGCCAGGGGGCACTCCTTCTCTGTCCTGTCCCTAGTTTCCGGTCTGCTGTCCTTCCTGTCCCTCTCTCCCTTGGGCTATATATTTCCGGGTCTTGCACTCTGTCCTCGCTCAGCATTGATGTTCGGATGTCCTGAGACCCGCCTAGCACCAGGGCGCCCCACGTCCGCTCCCTGAGGGCATAGGTTTCTATACGGCATTCCTGAACTCTTTGCACTAATGAGCCCGGGCCTTTTTCCCGTCTCGCCGCTACGCATATGGGTCTTTTTCCGCTCTCCTGCTCCCCACGGTTAGTCCCTTTGGACGTCCGTGACATGAACTGATTAATTTTGATTTAATATAACACTGTTTTGTGGGTGGTTTAGCGTAGTGAGTACTGTAAGTCTCTGGACCTATACGTTGCGGGTTTGAGATCCTGCTACAGACACTTCTGTTGCACTTGGAGCGAGAGACTTCACCCATGTGGTCCGTCAACACTGTGGAAGCCAGGATAAGCTCTGGCCCAGTGAGTCAGTGTTCCTCGAATGTGAAGCAGTGGTCACTTCTTGGACTCATAACTGAAAAGGTAGTCCTGTTGTACCCTTGAGCAAAATAGTTCACACAAATTGCTCCAGTAGAATACCCAGCTGAATAAATGCTGCAAATGTACTGTAAGTCTCTTTGGTTAAAGCTTACAGACAAATAAATTAATAACAAACAGCTAAAATGTACCACGTCGAATAGAATTTTTGACCTGAATGGGTTTAGATCAATACTAAAATTATCATCAATATACCTGAAGTGTGTGCGTGTCTGTTTCTTGAGTGATTAATAGTGTTCATTTTTCAATAACATGAGTTATTAAAAAACTTTGTTTAAGCCTCAAACTTTAGGGCTTTTTCATTGTTTTACCAGCTGGTGAAGCAGCTATTTGTAGGTAACATTTTCAAGCAATTCCACCCAGCTGCCCTAATAATGACTCTTTTTTGAGTCGCTTAAACTTTACACAGAAGAGAGATTGCAGAAATATGTCAGCCCACCCCAGGTGCTTTCAGAACTGCTCTATGTCATCTCACTATCTATAGAGTTTGTTGCCTCACAGTTACTGTTCTATGGGTAAAGCAAAGGAGCAATTAAAAATGTCTAACAATTAACAATTAATCAATATCAATGCATGAGATAAACAATGCAGTTCAATGGCAATATTGTCTGAATTGAAGTACTTTCCACAGTACTAACTTGCAGTGTTGTTCTCTCAGTGCTAATAATCCAGCTGTTTGCAACACACAAAACAGCTAATTCCATTTTAACAATCATTATTTTCTGTAAAATTGTGCAGGCGTTCTGAATCCCAGACATTAATCATACTGTCCACTTTTTTTTCTGTTGATTCTTTCTTGTTGATTTTAACTTATTTGATTCATAGTACTTCTTGTTAGCACTAGCAATAATGGAGACCATCACAGCTGGAGAGCTGTTGACTTGAACGGTAAAGTTCATTTTCACATCTATGTCCAGTTGCCATGGCCTTGTTGCCAAGGAGACACGTCACATAAGTCCTTAGCAATCCATGAAGTCACAGTAGTTTTACTGCAGAGTGTTTTTGGTTCTTGATTGAAGAATTTCAGAAAGGTAGAAAAGTCAGAGGGTTAAAATGGACTACGTGGTACAAATGAGTGACTTGTGTGAGTAACAGTAATGGAGAACTGTAACACCCCAAGCAGCAGGAACAAGTGTTCTTGGGTATCAAATACATTAATCAGATAACCAAGGCCAGAAAAGCTGGAAAATCACTGAACATGCCTGAAATGTAGCCTTTCTTGTTTATACGCTGCTGAAAACATGCCTTCTGTAGCTATCTCCTCTCCAACACGTGAAAACATTGGGTTTGAAGACGATCCTATTTTGGCAGTGATCTGTCTCGTTGAAGCCTGGAGAGTGAGAACCAGTTGGGCTGTCTGCAGTAAGCAAACCAGCGTGTGTTCCATGTCCCTGTTGTCCTGAGAGTCTTTTTAGCACCGACGTCCTGGAAGTGGCAGGTGTGGACACCAGAGATCCTCAGCTAGATCAGAGTGGGGAGGTCAGTACTGCCTAGTGGTAGCCTGCTTAGATTGTGGGGTCACTGCTGCGGTGGGGAGCAGTATTCCACCGCACCAGTGACCCCACTTTGATCCTGCGGCACTGCTGGCACTGGGACACTGTTGCATTTCCACAGTGAGGCCACACTCAGTTCGACATGATCCTGCTCAGACTGTGACAGCTGTTGTAGTTATTAGTTCACTTACAGTATCATCCTAATATGACTCCGTTCATGAAATGCTGTTTCTATATGGGCTGCAGAGAATAAAAACACGTTCTCTGCCCCACCTGTACGCCCTGGCAGCCCAAGCCAGCAGGGCTAATATCAACGCTGAATGACAGAGCGGGGGCACACAGCAGGCTGTGCAGTGCCTGCGCTTCACTAGGGTCTGACTAAAGCACACAGCAGCAGTCCCTGCTGCACTGATGTCTAACCTCTGTATTCTCAACTGGAGGCACAGAAGTGGCCTGAGCCAAGGCGAAGAATGCCAATCACAGTGAGGGTAGGTGTTACGGGGGGGGTTATCGCTGTAGGACAGCACGAGAGGCTCCCACTGATGCAGTCTGGAGGAGGGGAGCTGCTGAAAGCAGGAGGTCAAGCCAATCCGAAGCTGGGAAGTGATATAAGCTGAGGGACGCTGATGTTATGGATGGGGTCCTTCAAGCTGTACACAACCCTGGAGACAGGAGACAGGAGAGTAACAAAGCAGCAGCAAAAATATTGCTTTTAAGTAACAGAATGCTCTCTGCAGCTCGGGAAAGGCTGGACAGGGTATGGATGATAATGAGGAGTCAGGGAGCTGCCTACCAGCAGGGGTCCAAGTTAATAATCTTCTGCAGAGGCGAATGAGAGACACGGTAAAGAGACCAGGTGGAAGTGCCTATGGAGGGAAACGAAAAAAAGGCTGGAGCTGGATTTGGAATGCATACAGGATAGAACACAGGAGGGCTCTGTCATTATTACTGTAGGTGGTGGAATGTGGTTATCCTTTCCATGCAACCTATCACAGGTACCGTCATTATACAATGGGAATTAGATGACTGCTGCTGTTCCTCGATATTTCACACATTCCCTTTCAGAACTCTGCAGAAGAAATGTGCAAACGTATACGAGATACAGGGGGATCTCCCCTCGGTCCCAAAAGAACCTGTGTCTGAAGTGCTAACGGGCTCCATTTCTCTCTTCCCAGGTACTATGCTATCTGCTGCCAGCCACTTGTCTACAGGAACAAAATGACACCTATGAGAGTGGCTCTCATGCTGGGGGGATGCTGGGTAATCCCGACCTTCATTTCCTTCCTTCCCATAATGCAAGGCTGGAACAGCATTGGAATCAATGACTTGGTGAGTGGAGGTTCCCTTTCCTCTTCCTCCTGCTTTTTCCCTTGGCTTTTCCTTTCCACATCTGAGACAAAATCCGTCTCCCTCGGCTCGGTGCTCCTACAGGAAGGAGAAAGGCTCTATGCATTGTTTGAGAAAAGCAAAATGTGAGTTCTTCTCAGATTTCATTTAAATTCTTCAAACTAAAGGCAAGAGTACTGGCAGCAGAGGTGTCACGTCGCCGTACCTGTTGAGCTCAGCAGAATTAAAGAAGGGATGTCTTTGGCATTCCTCATCCGTGTGATCCATCCTGAAAACTTTCCTTTCCAAAACAGAGCTGGATTAACTCTACACTTCTGCCAGTTAGTGACATGTTTATGAAGGCGGGGTGCAGAATTCCAAGGGAAAAAAAATTCTAAATTGTCCCATTCCTCTGATATTTGTTCTGTCGTGATTATTTATACATTTAGAAGTCCTTAAAAGTAGCTGTGCAGCATGTACCATCACACTGGTAAAAAAAGATAAGTATTTTAATAAATCCGAAGGTCATTTACAGAAAAGCTCTCCTCTTTTCCCTGTAGTTGTTCTTAAAGCATTAGAACATGAGTAAGACTTCAATGTAGAGAGTTATCCTCGTGTCCATGGCTGCTGTCAGACCCTCTTCTTATTTCCCCCTGTTTTAAAAACAAGCAACAGGCTGCTTACCGTTTTGTCCTCTTATAATTTGACATTTATTTGTGAAATGCATTTTCCACATTCAGTAAACAGAGAGTAATAAAATAACAGGAGAACAATTTCTAAAGATTGCTTTTTTAATAGCTTCAGTTTCAAAACACGTGACCTCAGTTTGGAGCTTAGCACTTCATCTTCCCGGCCGGATGATGCCTCAGCAACCTAGTTCTTTGGCATTAACGTATTTTGTATATGACACTTCCTATTTTGAACTAAAAAAAAACGGGTTCGTAACAAGAGCCTCCTCCTGCTGTATTGATATTGCTACTGCATTTCCCTTATACCAGGATGCCACAAGTAGAAGCTGTTGGCATTCTGAGAAATGAAAGCATATCCCAGTCATTCTTTTCTCCAAAGCCTGGAATGGGTGGCTTTGTGGTGTTGACACACAGGGCACAAAGGCTGAATTTGATGTCATCTGTGAACAGAAAACTCATTCTTGTTTATTCAACACAATCCTCTGCATTCATTCATCATTTGAGAGTCAGATCAATATGAATCGAAGTATGAGGCACTTGAAATCATCATTCAAAATGCTCAAGGTGCCCTGTGAGTGTGTCAGAACAATCCTTCGTCTCCTTTAGTATGGCATGTTTGCTCATGATCTGTGATTCCAATCATCGATTTCTTTGTCAAGAAAACAATGCAAAACAAAAAACTCTGAAAATAATTAAGCTAAATTATTTACTTTAAGGTTTTAGTGATTAGAGCTACTGTATCTGCTTTGGGCTTGAGATTTAAATTGTCCTGCCTCTACCTTACAAGATTGATGCTGTTAAAACATTTGTACAGGTAGTTCTGGAGTGTAATGTGCTGCAAATCCTGCCCTGATTTTGAGCCTTCAGGTGTACAGTATGAAGACCCAAGCGTGGTGCTTTGCCATCCTTAAATCCTTCCTTTCATTCTGCTAGCTAACTAGGGATATACTACATTTGAGATTACAGTGCAAGAGAAGTCAAAGTCATGAATTGCAATATAAGAGCGCAGTCTGTTCTTGCTTTTGAATGTGCTGTAGCTAAGGGACACCAAGGCTATACTCCTCTAAACCATGTTTTATTCTGCCAGGCATTTAATTACATGCTTCAGTAGCAGGTCCAACGAAATAGCCCTTACAACAATGGCAGCTACCATGTCATTACCTAGCAGATTGCAAATACAAAAGATTCCACAGGACAATCAGGGGTACTGCTCTCAACTCACTTCTCAAGCGTTTGCCTGTAAAAGACAACTAAACACCAGGCAGAGAGTAAGGCAGCTCTCCTCTTTAAGGCACCGAGTGATCCTGTGAGTTCTGCCATAACATCACTAAGTAATCAGGAGTGTCTGCTCAGTTTTTTTGTTTTTTTTTTGACAGGTCCAGCTTGAGTTTAACTTCCAATATGTTTTGGTCAAGTTTTTAAATGACTCGATTTATCATTGCAGTTAATATTTTACTCGGATTATGACATCAGAATAAAACTGTGGCTGTTCTGTGGAGAATCGTTTTTGTTTGCATTGTAGCTCAGTTATAAAGAGCCTCTGTTTGCAAGACCAGCTATGCAGAGAAATCACTGGTTTGACTTTTGGGTATTCCACACACCAGCTGTGCCAGAGATGCCCTAAAATACAATGCAGAACGGTCTGAACACTTCTAGTGCTGTGTTAGTTTGAAATCACAGAGGGCTTCCAGCTGCCACACAACAATCACACATGCTGCGTGCGAGATTTTAGACACGCAAGGACCTGTGTCAGTGCTCCTTGCTTGTTGTTTAACTCTGCTGACTACCAAAGAGGCGGAGGATACTGGGGTACACGTGTGCCATCTGCACCTCTCCCCAGGCATAACATTAGACTTGCTTGAGATTTAACTGTGCACCCAGCTGATGAACAATGAATTGAACTGAAAAAATAATCGTTTATTCAACCAGACAGGCCAGTTAAGGGGAAATGCATTTAATACTCATTTTATTTGGCTTTATTTCATTAGTTTTTTTATCCCACATAACTTACTGTACATTTGCAACAATTTATAAAGCTGGATATTTTTCATGAAGCACTGTTCTTCACTGTACAACTAAAGTGTCTTTTTAATAAAACGTCTACATCTTAAATTGTAGGAAGGCAGTGAGAACTTCAATAAATTATTCAAATAAAGTAGCTTAAAACAACAAAATATTTGACTGATACACAGAGAGGATGAATCAGATAATATAGATCACAATGATGAGTGCGACAGGTGGCACTAAGATTCAACCTTGTGATTTTTTAGACATCATGCTTCCAGAAGAAAAGATCTAGAGGCCATTCTATAAAAAACATCACTCTCTTCTAAGATGATGAGTATGGATGTAGGGAACAGTGTATGCCCAGTGTTCTCCAGGTTTTTAAACACAGATCCCTTCTTGAATTTGAGTACAGACCCACCCAACAATATAGAATAGGCAGGATAGTCAAGTTATACTTTAATCAGTCAGACGAGACCCCTGTGCTGAGAGGCCTGGGCTGAAGTTTGCTACTGCTCATCAATGTGCAGCTCATCCCGTAGGTACCTGCCATACTGTATGTGTGACTTGATTAACTTCATTTGGGAAAACCGCCTCTGAGACGTATATGTAGCCACTGTACTGTACGCCTTCACTTTAAAAGTACAGGATAATAAAATGCAGGAGCTTTTTCTGTGCTTACAGGTCCCCAGAAACCTCTGTCCCTTGACTTGTGTTTCACTTTAGTATGATTTTATCATTTTCCTGTCAGCTCCACTGCTGTTTGAATTTGGTGGCCAGCCCACTAATGTCTACTTAAAGGAATGGGTTGGAGGATTAGAGACAAACACGATTTTGTTTGATCTAACGGTTTTTGTTGCATCACAACTAATTACTGACATCATCAGGTGTTTGCACAGAAATTTGACATCCCTCCATCCCACCTCGAAAAAGAGACAGAACCAGGGTGACTTCTACTCTGCTGAGACTTCAGCCATTTTAAAAGAGAGATTTAATAAGCAGTCAGCATAGGGGATATTAGATGTGAAGCAAGTTTTAGAAAAGAATGATGGTTCAATGCCATCGTCACCAGTGGATTTTACAAACTCAGCTCTTACTGCTAATTCCGTAATTGACTACATCAGAAACTTTAGGACTTGCATCGAACTGAACTGGATCAGCATTATTAAGCTATCAAACACACAGCCAGCAGAATGAAATGTTCATTCAATGAATAAACCATCTATTTTGTAATCTGTCATAGGGAAGTAATAGAAACTGGTAAATGACAGGGTAATGATTTGTTCCTCGTAAATTCAACTGACATCTATAATGTCTTTAGGTTAAGAAGCTGGAAAACCAATGGCTGTCATAAGTCATTTTAGAACTTTTGTTCATTTATTTCTAACTTTTTGTTAGTGTTTTTGCTTAATTAAAGCTGACAACACAGGGCTTAACACAGGGCTGATCCAATGGCCAAAACCAATTTGTGAGTGCCTGTTACAAACAGTACTGACCAATCTTTAAAAATATTGTAATATAAGTACGTGCGACAGATTAGTTAAGAGAAATTCAGCTCCAGTTTATTAAAGCTAGATCAAGTAGAAAAGCCAGTTCATTAAAATTCTACAGACGTTTTTTTAGATGAAATCGGAGGAGGGTGACTCTTTTTCACGCTGCTTCTAATACATGCTAGCAAAGAAGGGTTCACTAAGATCCTCACAAAACACAGTACTGGTACTTGTCAGGAATGTTTGTGAGCATGATGTCAAGCAAGCCTGAATTATCTGGTGACTAAGTCAGTTCTAGTAGGTGTGGTTACAGCACTTAGACAATGTCAGAAGGTTTTATCATATCCCAGTTTAATTCTCACAGAAAAATGAACACAGAGCTCAAATAAGAAATAACAGGTTTAGTAAAGCTAAGCAGCAGCAGGAGAAGAAGGAGGTCTATAGGAGGTCTGTGGTCTTCACACTTAATTTTGTAGAGATGGATTTTTAGTTTAGGAAATCACCATGTTTGGAGATTGATTTGGATATAATGAGAGCATTTTATATGATCTTTTATACTGAAAATGATTTTTTAATCAAGGCTTCTAGTATATAACACATTCAGAGAAGAGCTTGAAGTCTTAGGTGGATTGAGTTTTGAGAAGCAGGCTGCCTGCTAAGATGGAGAGATCCAGAGTTTTATCATGGTAAAAAACATTATACACTCCTGAAAAGATGTATGTGAACCCCATTTATGAACATGGAAATTTCACCTTTATGCTGATAGCCTTATCATGATAGCCTTCCAGAATCAAAGCCACTTTTATTTATAGTTAACTATTCCATGCCTCTTGAAACAAAACGATGTATGAATTAAACAAACAATAAGTAATTGAGGTACATAGAATGTGAAAAAGCTCAATTAGCTCAATTAAGGGAATAATCAGAATCAGGTGTTTAAATAGTTAGTTAGATCTTGGTGTCTGGGTTTTGCAAGGCCCACCAAAGGTGAGAAACGTTGCGAGTTTGGTCTTTACCCAGCAGGTGTGTGGAAACAAGGCATTCCACAATCTGAGGAGCTCTCTGAAGACTCGCAGCAAAAGAGTTATTGATGCTCATCAGTGGGAACATCTGAGAATCTGGGGCTCCACCAATCCACTGTCAGGTAGTGTACAGATGGAGAAAATTTAAGACCACAAGCACTCCACCAGGATTGGTTGTCCTACCAAAATCTCCTTGAGTTACAAAAACCCCAGAGACACAGGGGGGTGACTTTCCCTGTCAAAATCTCCTGCTTGTAACCAACATAGAAATTATCAGTCAAAATCAGTTATAAGGTCCAAATGAATAAATTCTGGAGTAAATGTGGGTAACCATAGATATAGTAACCTGGTGAAACTTCAATTTGCTATCACTTGGCCATGTCAAATGGGAATATTCTGCATACTGCTCAGTCTTAACTTCAGACCATCAAAGACTGCAAAAACTTACCGTTTCTTACTCAGCTGAACCAGAAGGAAAATCTGGAACTGTTCTTCAGAGCAAGACTTGCAAAAGCCAGTCGCTGGCGCACCCCACGGACTGCAGCTGCATCCAAAGGCTTCTTGGGTTATTTCTGGAGATATGTCCGGTGAAGTTGAACAAAAAAGTGAAAGCAAAAAAAGTTAAACCTTTTAAAAAGCTCGAAAAAAAAGAAATAGAGCAAACATACAGTAAGAGCACAGTTCATACAGTAAGGTAACACCACTTTGGAAGACAAATGAAAAAGTTTACAATTGAAAATGGCCAATTGGCCTGTCTTAGCAATACTAAAACTAGAAGGTATGAAAAATCCTAATGGGCAATTCCAGAGTTTAATAAATCACCAATTTCTCCATTACAAAACCAAATGTAAACTTCTGCATTTTCTCATAATGGTATGCTCATTTTGCCTGCTTCAAACAAGAGCCACAGTGCACTTTGTAGGGAGCAGTAGTGAGGTGACTGAAATTGGAAAGAAGAAATGGAAATTATGCAGCTTTCTTTTACAATCCTTTTTTGCAGCCCAGAAGGCACTAGCAGCCTCATGATGGACAAGCTCAAGAGACCACTAACAGAGCTATGAAAGGAAATATTAATATGGCAGGGATTGTGATTCTGAATGTATTCACAGTTATCTTCGGGAAATCCAGGGGCTGGTGTGCCTTAAAATTGTGTGTGTCACAAAACAACATATTAAATGCTCACGCTACCGAATGTTTGTATTCACAAAGTTACTTCACCATTCACTAATGCATTGAGATTTAAAGGTCTTTTATCGTCTATTAAAGACTTGACAAGAAAACAATATGCCCTTTCTTCAGTAGGAGGTTGATTTTCAGGGCTCTGATGTTAAGATTTCAAGAATGAGGTCTATTTTTAGTCTCCATCACTGCTGGCGTCTCAAAAGCCTGCGGATCTCTGCCTTGTAAAGAACCCAAGCGTAAACACCAGGACTTTAAGCTCTTAAAAGGGGTGATAAAATGGGATGCAAAGGCAGATATGTGGCTAAGCACCAGAGCAAACGAAACACTTTATGAATGTTGAAATCCATGGTAATATTACCAGGCCTCCTCCTTCCTCTTCCTCTTCCTTTCTCCTGACTCTTCTTTTGCTTCCTTGCTTTATTTTTTACCCTTGCATGAATTTCCCCTTAGCAAAGCATCACTCCTGTCTTGGTAACGCACGTCCCCTCCCCACCGTAGATAGAGCAGCGGAAGTTCAGCGGGGAGGCCAACGCCACGCTGTGCGTCTTCATGGTCAACAAGCCCTACGCCCTCACCTGCTCTGTGGTGGCCTTCTACATCCCCCTGGGACTCATGGTGCTGGCCTACCAGCGGATCTACGTCACGGCCCGGGAGCACGCCCGGCAGATTGGCATGCTGCAGCGGGCCGGGGGCGCCAACAGCGGCGCTTCGGACAGCGCCGACCACCAGCGCAACCACCGCATGCGCACGGAGACCAAGGCGGCCAAGACTCTGTGCATCATCATGGGCTGCTTCTGCCTCTGCTGGGCCCCCTTCTTCATCACCAACGTGGTGGACCCTTTCATTGACTACACGGTCCCGGAGAAGCTCTGGACCGCCTGCTTGTGGCTGGGCTACATCAACTCCATGCTCAACCCCTTCCTCTATGCCTTCCTGAACAAGTCCTTCCGCCGTGCCTTCCTCATCATCCTGTGCTGCGGGCAGGAGCGCTACCGCCGGCCGTCCATCCTCGGTCCCAGCGCCCCCTGCACCTCCACCCAGATCAACGGGTCCACACATGTGCTGAGGTAGGTAGATCCCCGAAACCAGTGCCGGGTCGGGTCCGCCTGCACGGACAACACAAAGTCCCACAGCTGATCTGCAGCCTTCAAAGCTTGGGGGAACTTGCCTTCTCCCGGACAGGGGCCTGTATCTGGGCCTCCTGGATCTCCACTGAGCAGCAGCAGTTTCAGCGGTTTCATGGCCGAGAGAAGGGGATGTAGCGAACTGGTGGGCAGCACTACAAGAAGCTGGGAGAGGCGTTGCGCTGGGCTAGCGTGCGCTATAGGCAAATTGAGTTGCACAGCAGATCTATCCGATTTGAGTCTAATAGCAACAGACACGCATCAAATTGTCAGTTTCAGCTCTAAAAGCATGTTAGGTGCTCCAGCACACTGCTGCTTCTGGACCCAAGGGTATTGTTTCACAGCTGCTGATGGAACCCTGATAGGTCTCCCCGCTCATTAGCCCTGCTGTATATAGATGCCCAGTGATGCTTCAGAGAGGTTTGCAGAGATCTGTGGCAGTGGCACGAGGAGCAGTCCAGGGGTTCCAAGCACAGCTGTGGTTCTTTGATCAGCATTGAGGCTTCAGTTCACATTTCACTTCCATTCCGGTTCATCTTCTGCTACAGTCAGTTTCCACTAGTGCTACTGTCAGAATTTATTGTGCAGATCTCGGTAGTGTGAAAGAAAAGATGTCTTGATGTCTTGTCAGGGTGCTACAGGACTACAGAGTCCTTCACTCTAACAGATGGGATTCCGTGCCAGTAAGCTGCATGGAGAGAGCTTCATGTTTCATTTTCAGAGCCAATATTTTAAAGTTTGTGTCACTGTGTTTCAGCTATCCATAAATATATGACTATTTTCAACTACTATTTATACTCCTGAAACACAAAGAAACCTGAAATAACTCTTCCTTTTACAGTTTTGCTATTAGAAAAAAATGCACTCCTTTTTGGGAAAAATGGTGTCGTTGTTTATAATGGTCTTATAAGACATTTGTTGGCTTTCGTGAATCACGTTTTTTTACAGTATGTCCCATATACAGTATGTTGCTATGTTTCCTTATAATTATCTAAATGCATTAACATTCTCTCACAAAATAAAAATAACCACAACACCTGTCAGCTTTGACCGTATCTAAAAGACCTTGTTTCTCGGTTCACTGGTCTTCGAAATTCATTCGCCCTGGTATGTATCGCCGCCTTTCCCAAATGACTAAATCATAGGACATGTTTGTCTCGTGTGCCTTTCAACCTTGACTTTTGGGAAATAGATCTTGTCGAATTGTCATGATTTTTTATCTGTTGCTTAACCGCAGGTGATGTAGTCGGGATTCATAAGCTGGTCTCGCTTTGACTTCCAAGTAAAACCAACATTCTCATTGGCCGCCGTCCGGCAAGGTGTGAGGCTGTTAAAAGAGATTTACTTTTTAAGCAGTCTGCATGGACTTTAAACGGTTAAGGAGCTTGAATACCATGCATCTGATAGATAGTGCTGCAATAGCCCAATTTCATTGATTTACTGCTGGCAAATAAATACAATCGATTTCCTTCACTATATTAGAACACTGTTATTTCTCTTTAACTTCTTTTTCCCAGACATTCCATGCTGTATAGCCCGGCATTATAAGCCCTTCATAACGCATGTAGAGGTCGCGCATGTAGTTTTCGCACTTCTGTCTCGGTACAGTACACTTCTATACAGTAACACCTACATTAATCCCCTGGTAACAAACTTATTTGCCATAAAAAGAAAAAATATAGAACTGTAAAACAAGATCAGAAGGAAAATATCCGTTATTCAGATCCGTAAAATAAAAAGAAGAATTCGCTCGTCTTTCCAATATCCTTGGCTGTACAGTGCTCGGCCTCCAATTCTCAACGTTCATAAATGCAAAGAATGTGCCAAAACCGTGCACCCGGACTCTTAAAGGACGAAGGGTTTCAGTACTGACCGTTTTAAGACAGTTTATACCATAGCCTGTTTCAAAGGCTTTCATGCTTTCAAAATAAAGAACTACTTCATTGTATCAAGGGACAACCTGGTTTATAAATTATACCTGATATGTACTTTGACTTATCTAAATTTCACTGGGTTTTTGTTTGAGTATTTTATTTTACCACCAGTGAAGGAAGGCACAAAGCACACATATGGCAATAAGAAAAAGATCATTTAGGATTTGTCTCTAGTTTTTAATTTTCTAATTAATTTTCCAGGCATTCGTCCATATGTTCCTTTATCAAGAGTGCAGGTCAGCTTGTTTAAATCCAAGGAGTCATTGTTTATTTTTCCTAGTACTTTTGAACTAAACATAGAAACTAAACATTAAACCTGTATGAATAATTCATGATAATGCAAAATGCACATTGCACAAAACAGAAAAGAAATTGTGAAACCAAAGTGTAGCAGCCCAAATAAAAACCATACATATTTCTCTGCTTTAATAACCCACATCAATTATTTGCAAATGTGTTTTTAGAGGCATTAGCATCGCTATAGATATTCATAATTTCCCAAATAATACCTTAATAACCCTGCTATCTCTCCTTGACTACCAATGGAGTTTGATATTAAGGAAGTCATTACAAGTCATAGTATTTCAGATGATTAAAAAAACACTTCATTTTGATGTGATCCGTCATCACAGAATGCCTGAACTTGTAATCTCTGAATTTCCATAAATTCATTTTATTTCACCATTTGAATTTAACCTCTTGC